CGAGTAGAGCGGTTTGGTTTCGGCATGGCGTATAGCGAAAGCTCCGGGACAGAAGCCAGGGTTCATGTTGAGAAGGTGTTTGATGCACATTGACCAGGTCCGTTTCTTCTGGCGACAAGGCAACTTCGGTAGTATGCGAGCGCATAGTGCGAATGAATGTATTTGTCGACCCAGTGTTTTTCCGGCATCAGCGTGTAGAATCTCAATCTCGCCTTCTCTGAGTTCAATCGTCTTATCAAGGGTACCGTGCGGCTCAAGGCCGTTCCGCCGTTCAATCTCGAAACCACGTGCGTCTTCGTTATTCGCGATGTATGCGTTTGATACACGCACTCCACCATCCGAACGATGGCCTTCCAAAAGCGCATCCTCTTCTTCGGGACCGTCGCCATCATGACCGTCCTGCAATCCAAAGTCTTCTTGAGCGTATACTTCATCATGGTCATTTGGTCCAGCGCCTTCGCGTGCGAGCCAATATGCTACGCGAATGGCACTTCCTCTGCGTTCTGCTGGGGTACTGGAATATGTGCTTCTGCGGATAGGGGTGGTGTAGTGGGATGAATGACCGGGAGTCGATGAGTAGGGTGGTGGAGGACTCCGGGTATCGTCCATGGCGACGGCTTGGCTTGATCTTCTCGATTCTTGAAGTGTTATTCTTAGGCTTTAGTGATGAGAGGCCGAGGGAAGTCGAATATCTTATGGAGGATACCAGTCGTTTAATGGCGGGGTCAGTGATGTAATGTGCGCGAAACCCGTATGGGACAGGTCGCTTGAAGCGAATATGTCTACCATGGTACATCCGGACGATGTATCTTATCTCTCCAATGCAGTCCCTTCCAATCCTATCTTATCTCAATCCACGCGTCTAACCCCCACAACTCTATTCAACCTAGCCTCCACCCCTTCAAGCACACCTCTCAAATCTTCAACATCTCTCCCAATATCCGACACCATACTAAACACCTGGCCCACCTCATGCGCCGTCCGCCTACCCTCCACTCTACTCAACACCGCACTAAGGTTAATTACATCAGCCTTCCTCCGCACCCACAACCAACGATGTTGAAGATCGCAGTTGGCGTATTCCAGACCCAGACGGTTACTATTGCGCATGTGCCTAGCTGGAGGAGAATCATCGTCATCGGAGTGCGGGTAGTATTGCGCTGCGTATGGCGACTTTTCAGATGGAAGAGGTGTAGATTGAGTGGACCACTGCGCCGAGTCCTGGGATTGGTATTCTGGTTTCAGAAAGGGATACTCGAGATCTCGGAACTTTTGGATCAGGTCGCGGATGGTAACGCGCATTACGGTTAATGCTTCTTCTTCGCCGCTTGAGCGCATACTCTGCATGTCGCGGTCGAAGTGCATAGTTCTTCTTTTGCCGCCTCCCCTCCCTCGTCTGCCTCTTTTCCGACTCTCGTTCCCGGTCTTACCACTGCCGTAGTACTCTTCGGAATCACTTCTTGCGCTGGGACCGTGACTTTGGTCTCTCCTTAAGTTCCTCAGTCTTTTTCTCACTCTTCTCAGATGCCTTCTTTCTTCCAATAGTGCTTGCTTCAGACTTGACAAGATATTTTTGATCTCTTCTGGTGCGGCATTGAACGTCGCTAGATTCGACCATGTGACTTTGAGTAAGGTGGCGAGCGTAAAGGTGAAGGAGATGAAGCCGATGATGGTCGATATCATGGATAGTGGGGAGAAGGCTGTGTGTGATATTGTCACACCCATCTCGCAGTCTATGTCGGCTGAGGGTTCAGTGCTAGTAGTGCTGAGTAAGCCTGGTTCGTGGAAGGTAGAGGTCGTGGTACAGATGCAAGTCGTCGATGAATTGAACCAATGGGCGCCTACGCAACAACAGATGTTTGTTTGGGTTCTGGTTGCACGGAAATGTCGGCAGCAGGCGTTGTCTACGTCTGCAAGACATCCTCCGTGTGGAATTGTTTCCAAACGTCACGATTTGATCAGGGCAGGCCCCCACGGTTGCTGGCGCCGACCCAATCACCTGTAAGCGGAAATAGACTGACTGATGCTATGGTCAGCCAAGCTGACACATTCAAGTACGATGGAAATGACTTTCTTCCTTTTGTATCGAGCGTGTTTGTGAGACCGACAGATTTGACCACAGTGCCGTTTGCTGTCTTTGCAACATCATATGAAAGCAGTGTTGGACCAGGGTGACAAGCGAGAACCGCATCTTTGCATGTCTACATTCGCTCTTGCGAATTTATTCCATGGCACATACTACCAGGTATCGTACACTTTTATATATACACACGTCTAGAATTTGTAGACCTGGTCCTTGCTGTAGCCAAGCTCCTTCAGCATTCCGTCAAGCTCGCCCTGGTCGGACGGGCTCTTCTTGCCTCCGCTGATAGCCTTGTACATGCCTGGTGGTCCGCATACGAACAGCTTGATCTTCTCGCCTTCCTTGGGCTCAGGCAGAACAGTCTTTAGGAGCTCCTTAGTGACGTGTCCCTTGCCGCCTTGCCATGACTCAGGTGGGTTGTCCAGAACGTAGAAGGCGCGGAAGCGCTGGGGGTATGTGTTCTCCAACTCCTCCCACTCGCGCTTCAGCAGAATGTCCTCTTCTGAAACGTTGCCGTAGATGAGCGTAACCTTGGTCTTGTCCTCGGGGTTGCGGAAGATGTGTCGTGCGGTTTGCCACATGGGTGTGATACCGGTGCCACCAGCGATCAGGGCAATGTGCTCGTGCATGTTGGGCTGTGAAAGAGGTTTCAATGTTAGTGCTTGTTTCACAACTAGATTATCGACGGGGCTCGTACCTTCCATTGGAACTTGGGGATAGGTCCCTTGATGTCTAGCCGTTGGCCTGGCTCCATGTTGTGCATGTGCTGAGACATGGGGCCGTTGGGGTAGGCCTTGATGATGAAGTCGACGGAGCCCTTCTGGTCCACGTCGCTAATCGGAGTGTATGGTCGGATAACTGGCTTCTGCATCTCGGGGCCCTTGTACTTGGTAATAACGGCCGCTATGTTCAGTCAGCATGTGCCGTGAGTAAGCCATTCTGATGATAGACATACATGCGACAGGCAAACCGCTCTCCATGTCCTCCTCCGGCAGCTTGAAGCGGAGCTTCTTGGTGTTGTGGTTGACGACTTCGATGTTCTCCAGCGCAAGCGATACGAAGCCCTGGTCGCCTCCAGTGAAGGCCTTCTTGACGGCGCCGGTGGAAGAGGGGATCTTGTTAGCCTCTTCTGATGGCGGCGCATTGCCCTTCTGCCCTGAAGGCGCGTCGCCGCCCCTCATGAACAAGTAGGCACCGGCGAGACCGGCAGCGCCGATACCCGTGTAGAGGATGCCATTGTTGCCGCTCTTGGGCGCCTCAGATGCGTAACGGCGGACTTGCTATTTTCTGTCAACCTCCAAAACTGACATTGGCGATTTGTAATCTCAAATCAGACGGAAATGTGAGCGCATACCTGGTGCAGCGTCTTGGCTGGGCGGAATACCTGTCTGGCAAACATGGCGAGACGAATTGGTATGAGAGGAGGGGAATGAGGATAGAATTGAGGTGTTTGCAAGAACAAGCGTTATCCGGGTGCAGGTGCTAACGACGGAGCTCATCGTACGCTAGCGCCAAGCAGTAAACGTCATCGCTGTTTTGCCGGCCCGTCCGAACTCACACTCATCCGTCTCCCAGTGCATCTTCAACATTAGTGCGACAGTCCATGCTATGCTCATCATGTCTGATTGACTGTCACTGAGACTCTCCACGGAATATCGTACAGCGGCATTCTGCACTCCATACAACACTATGGTAGAGGACGAGAAAGACGGCTCCGCCCGGGATCCATCAGCGACAGATTGAGCATGTTTCTTCGGCACCTCGAGAAATGGACACAATGGGCGGCACTAAGCATCAACTGATCAATGTACACACTAGCCATCTCGCGACGAGATGCTGACTGACGAGACCTCTGGAGATCCTGTCGGCTATGCAGGACTGCAAGCAATATGGCGAGGCATCACATCGCAGACGCCCCAACACGTAACCCGGACCTGTCGCGCCACGTTCGCGGAAGCCTGTGTCGGAATCGCCATCAGCACGATATTTGTTCAGGCTGAACGCGTTACATGTTTAACAATACCGGACGGACTAGGTTGACATTGTCGCATTGTGCTGTTCACAATGGGTCAGCTGCTCACGCAGAACGTCTGAATCCGCACCTTTCGACTCTGGCCGCTCTGAACATCGCCCCTCAGAAGCCTACAGAAAGTAGAAACAGCGAGCAATCGGATCTGCAGTGGTAGAGACCGCGTGTCCTTAATGGCACAGACTGGACCCTGGCGACAAGTGAAGGGGAGAAGCTCGGTCCAGCCAGCTCACAGTGACCGTCGGACCCTACTATGTCATTTCGGCTGCCACAGATCTCTTAACTACGACCCTTTCTTCGCTGTTTTATTTATTCACCTCCGGTACAAATATACAGCTTTTCTCTAACGATGTGGACTTGAACAACTTTAGGCGCCTATTCTCGAACGAGTGCGTTTCGCATACTTTTTGGGTCGCTAGAGCTCTTTAGGCGAACCATCAACTGTCGCCCTCAGACCGCTGGTCGCAATCGAATCCCCACGAAGAACTACGATTTACTTGCTGGCCGGAGCCAGGATTACTGCCGGTGCACACAACTCTCAATCGCGTCGACATGGCTTCGCAGTTTCCGACACTAGCTTCAATGCGGCAACCATGCGAGCACAACTATACTTATGCACCGAATCTTATCCCCGACTCAGCACTTTCAGTCTGCGCAGTCTGCATCACAGAGGCTCGCATTGGTGAAGTAAAGTTCGCGACATTTGCGTTAGCTCGCCGCGGTGGTATCTTCGAATCCTCAAAAGCAGGGCCAGAGCTACGTACGAATGGTATCGATGACCTAGGTTGGATGTCACACAAGGATTGCACCAGTCGGTGGAAAAGGGCAAAACTCGATTGTTGGAGACTTGTTGCGACCCTGGAGAATTTACGAGATGAACACTTCGACATGGCTGAGGAGTGGGGAGTCGACGAGGCACTATATCTCTGGGAACTAGCAAGAGACGAATGTTGGAAGGTGCCTGGCTGTCAATATTTGGAATACCCCGCTTCGAAAGAGGTGAAATTGACATCACGATCGCCGGCTATTGAGACTGTCTCGGAGCCTACACCCCAGGAAGAAGAAGATTCTGATGGTAGTTGGGAGAAGGTCAAGCGCAGGTGGAAGAGGAGGTCTCAACAGATCTCATTTTCAGACGACAACGAACCGCTGGATGTCGATCAGATGAATCTAAAAGAGATGGAAGGAGTCAACAATAGGCTAGCAAATGCAAGGTCGACACCCAGGAACCGCTTCGACACGATCGTCAAAAGCAGTAGAAGCGCCACCACAATAGCTGTCGCACAAGCCGTGAACAGGTCTAAATGCTTACTCAAAGGGGACACAAAACAAGTAAGGATATCTCCCTCGCTGCGTCTAGTCAACTTGGCGGCTGATTCTCTACAACAGTCCGCTTCTCCCCCTCGCAAATCGGTCAGTATCGACGCGCAAGCCACTATCCTCCCTTGCGATTACACCCCAGCTACGACGATGTCACATCACGAGCACACAGTCATAGAGCGGAGCCGCAACCGCCCCACTTACAGTCGAAGCTCCCGTTTCTACACGCCCTCATGTTGGGCGAGTCCCGAGGGCTACGAGAAAGATGACACCAGTCTTTCCAAGAGCTCTTGGGCGACTGTTGACCAGCTCCAGAGGGAGTTTGCGGGTTTGGAGGCAGACTCTGAGAAGAAAGAAGAGGTGCTTACTGAAAGAGCTGAGGAAGCTGCCGCCGAGCATGACAAGAAAGCTAACTTGAGGAAAGTAAAAGACAAGGCCTTTCGCGCACGGCGACCGCCATGGCAAGGAGAGAGGCTCTTTCATGATAGCTGGCAGGGCGCTGAGCTTCTTCACATGAGAGACTACTTCAAGAAGGCACTCGCAGAGGATGCCAATCTGTCATCGCTGAGTCAATCGCACCGCAAGGCATTGACGAGGGGTCTGCATGACTGCGGTAGTGCTTTGATGCGGGAGGAGAAGCAGAAGGAGAAGAAATGGGTGGATGCGGAGAGTGAACGATAGGCGGTACGTGGCATTGTTTGCGGTATCTGTGAAGGAGAAGGGATAAGGATGGAAAGAGGCGCGCATGTATGCGAGCAAACGTTGAGAATAGCTATACATTCCTCGATACGCTGTCGTGAAGTATAATTATGGGTACACATCGCTGTCCCTTCAGCATGACAGTCTACGCTGTCCTTGTCTTTTGTCACACTTTCTGACCCGTCAAGTGCAAGTTCAATCACCGCTCGAGGGTACAAAGTCCCCACCGCTGTATGAAACCACATCCTCGCCAATAACCATACGCAGCATACAGAAAACAACATAAGCCCAACGTATCCAAATCTACGCTAGCAAAAGTAAAAGCCCTGTGCTCAACCCTCTACACATAATTTTACGGCCTCGAGTCTTACCACCGTCATACCGAGTTGACTCCTAGCACCTAAAACAAACCAACCATGCCCTCAGGTTACTATCCCTCTCGACGACGAAATCTTCCATATGGCAATACACCATATCACGAGCTTCCTAACGGCGGCCGAGATCTTGCCCCCATCAGACAGCCCGATGTTCATGGCAGCGTCTGTTTACCAGGCACTCGCAGTAGTTGGTTTAACTACGACCCGGATAATGGTATCAATCGCAACACAGACCACTGGTATGGACGTGGAGGTCAGTGGAATAGGTATAGGTCGCCGTACATGGGCGGTGGTGGGTGGGGATGGGGACCTAGGTAAAAAGTGGAATGGAGAAACGTTGAACTTGGTTGAGAGCTGTTAAACAGCCTATTCGAAGAAATCTAGTTGCTACTGATACACTCGTTCCGTGGCTCACTTCCTACATTGAGATACCTGTGAGACCGACATAGGGGCCCGACCCAGAGGAGAGAATGAAAAGACACCTCGGTGTTCGTCCGCAGGACTCACCACTTCGCGAACTCGACAATTTTTCCATTTTAACCAAAGAGCAAACAAGGAAGTTTCGTAGTCCAGCATTGATGTTGCTTCGTGCCGCTATTCTCCAACACCAGCTTGGCGAGCTCTCATCACTTCGTCATTCTGTACTTCCAAGCTTGCTTCGGTAAGAATGGGTTATTATTCGTATATAGTATCAAAGTCGTAAACTTGGCAATAGGCGTCATGAGAGCGGTAGAGATAGCAAGAAGGTATACACAGAAGCGAATATGCAGGATCCGTAATCTACAACATGCGATGAAACTATGCTGGGACCGAATGATACGCGCACTGAAGAGAGCGTTGGGGGTATATGGCGGAAATAGAAGAAAAGTGCCCATCCAAATAACACCCATGATCTGAAAAAGTGTCCAAGATCCGAAACGAAAAAGATCCATGCGTAAAGTGCGTTAGGCGTTGATTATGAGGTTGCGCTGACTGGTATCTTCAGGATAGGCCCCGAAGACGAAGCGATAGAGCTCGCGCAGCCACTTGAATGACTCGCTGCGGCCCAGCCATTGCACCGATCGCCCAATCTCAAGTGCCGTCAGCCTGCGGAGTGGTTGAGTGTGAACGCTTCGTAGGGTCGGGTCTGCAAGAACAAGTTTTCGGTAGCTCTCGAACAATTGACTTTGCCACGTCTCGGCGCCGAAGCTGTTGGACGGCAAGGCACGAATAAAGTCTGGAAGGGGAATCTGGCGATTGTATCCTGTGTTGATGGCTGCCTTGATGATCAGCCCTTTCAGGCGGACCAGGTTGGCATCCTCTCGACCAGCGGTGGCGGTAGAGGAAGTATGTTGTGAGGCGTCAGAGTATGTAGAAAGGTTGGAGGAAGCGGATGACCAACGGTCATGAGTCCGTGTCATGCCAGCTTCTGGGCCGAGAACAAGTATGTTTGGCACGTTGGGCTCGTCTGCGGGCGAGAACTCTTCGCGGTCATCGAAGATGGTAGTTGGAGTCTCTGGCTGCATTGGCGTCGCGTTCCTCGACTGAATGGCCGAATGATACGACTCATTCACACTAGAGGATCGCCCAGACCGTTCCGAATACGCAGTCTGGGAGCGATGTGTCATGGAACTGCGACCGACCGAGAAGGCATACTGAGTGGGTCGTGGAGTGCCGCGATCAGGCCGCACCTGCGTCCAGCCTTCACGGAACAAGTCACACAACTCCCAGCACGCCTGGATTGCCGAGCCCAGCAGTTCCTCGTCGGCTGGCTTGCCATCCCGGCTGTTTTGGCGGAGACTGAAAAGCATTTCTGCCAGTGACCAGCATGCATGGAGCAATGAATCGGTCTCTTCTGGAAGCGAAGTGCGCTGCTTCATTAAGCGATGACATAACGTCAAGTAGAAATCCAGAGTGCGTTCACGAAATGTCTCGGGTAGTGTGCGATCATGTGCGTTGTAGAGATGATTGTTCAGCTCAAAGCTGACTCTGAGCACCGAATCAGAAGCCTCATCGCCGCGTTGCCGCACGTCGAATAGTGCCTGACAAAAGTCGCGGCAAAGCTCCAGTGTCGGTCGGATCTGCGTGGAGGGGTTCTCCTCTCTACTTTCGTAGAGCTTCTGGCAAAGTCGCCAACACGTTCTCCAGGCATGCTCCTGCATATCAGGGCTTCCACCAGAGTAGTGGAACATGCGTGTCCTGTGGTGTTGGCTCAACTTGGCCAGCGAGTTGCAGAGTGTCCAGCATTCGTCCAGTGCGCTTCGCAGGGCAGCCACTTCCTTCTCCGACTCTTGAATGCCGTGGATCGCCTGACCCATCGTTTGGGTGCCGATGGACATGGACTCGCCGTCTTGCGATTGTGATGACTGGCTGTCATCCTGTTCGATGACGGAGCTTGCTGAAGAATCTGTGGTAGCATGGTCGTCGTACTCGGCGATATCTGTGCATGTTAGCGCGTGGCCTTGTAAAATGCGTGCAGACATACCAGCGAGATTGACACTTTTGCGAACGCTACGCCGCCTCAGGTCCTCCTCGAAATCTTGTCTTGTTTGGGCACGCGGCGTGCTGCGGTCGGTAACTGAGTTGGACACGGCGGTATCAATGGGCGTAGTGTAGGCAGAGGATGTGTGCTTGTCCTCGACATCCGGAAGCATGTTGGCTTCAGGCGTTGACGGCGATACGACCGCGGTGTTATCTGACGTGTTTGCACTCGACGACCCGCCAGACGTCATCCGGTTCTGGTTCTGGTTCCCACGTCAGCCATGTAGTGCAACCATAACAGAAGGGCACTCACGAATTGCTTAAAGGTGTCGGGCGCATGGATGACAGACGGCGGGGCATCGTCCGAGTCAGCCCTGCGCACGGCGGTGTTGAGCTTATGGGTATGGGGCTGTCACAGGTTAGATGACTGCAGGCAGGTGCGGTGGAGGGTTGGCATGATACCTTTGCGGGCCCGTCCTGGCTCGCCGGGCTCACAATGTCGTCAGTGCCCGGCGATCTGATATCGCTCATGCCATCTTCGCTTGCACTTGGGTGATTGACCTGGGCATCGTCTTCGATCTGTAGTGGGGTCAGCCCCGCGCGTTCGTATATCCACCCACGACGCGACGTACCTCAGTGTGATCGGTATGGCTTGTGCCGTTGCTGTCGACGGGCGAGGGGTCGACGGTCGCCGGATACGGGCTGGGCGGTGGTTGTAGGTGGTCGGACGTGTGCCCTGAGGATCTTGGGGAGTCCATGTTAGCGGGCAGTCGCCAATGCTCTCGCAGCGAGGGCGTCGCACCTATTTGAGAAGACGTGGGCAAAGGTGCCCGGTGAGCTGGGCGAGTCCGTGTAGGGGCTGAATGCCGACATGGACTTCAGGCCACTCGGTGACGGCATGAGCTGCGTCGCGGTTGCCATGCCTCGCGCTGCTCTTGAGGAAGGCACAACAGAGGCTGCGCCAGGACTGCGCCGGATCTACGCTGCGGTGGGAAGGAACAATCGCGGGTGGTCTCGCGATGGGCTGCCTATCACTCAGACGACGGGGTTGGCGAGGCTGAGCGGCGGGTCACGAATCAGAAGGGAAGGCGCGAAAAGGGTGGGCGGCGGGCGAGCGCTTGCGTCTAGGGAAAGAAGGACGGGACGAGGCTTATCAGAGCAGGCCAGCTGCCGGGAAGAGGCTCAAGGTGCTTGGTGCAAAGAGGTGTCGTTGTTTGTTTCAACACTGCGACTCTGCCTCGGTGGAGACTCTCAGCGCAGACAGGCGGCAGGCGGCGTCAATCGTCTACCTAGCAGCAGCAGCGAACTGCTCGCCCGCCCGTGCACTACGCCCGCTTACAACACCTGTCCGTTCACCACCACCGCTGGGCGCCGCAGACGAATCGCCGCCCTGGGTGCTGCTAAGCTTCAGGGATGCACTGCAGCTTAAGCGCCCAAACCCACGCTAGATGGCGGGCATGGTCAGCGATCCCGCGCCGTGCGTGCCAGAGACACGACACTGGATCCTCTAGAACAGCCATCGCTACCAGCCTGGCTCCCTCTTCCGTCTGCTGGTGCGAACCCCTCCGATCCATTGTCCTACCTGATGCCGTCCCGCGGAAAGCAAACGGCTGCGCGGCCCTCCAAGGTGTAGGTAAGCAGCCCCTTGGCATCATCTATTCACCCAGCATTAGTTCCTCGCATGGCGAACGTTGCTGCAGACGACTAGGCCAGGCCTCCATGAGACGCTAATGCACCCTTCCTCAAAAGGCTCCATCAGGTGCTTGGAGACAGCACAAGTGTGCGGCACAGTCACGGTGCCCTCCCACCGTTTGCTCTGTCTCCAGTCTGGCCCCATCAACATCGACGTGGCGGCCTTGCATCAAATGAAGGCCTGCGTAGTGTGACGACTTCCTGCTCGCAACGGTCCGTCGACACATGGCATCCCAAGAGCCTCTTCTTGCTAAATCTGTAGGATCGTCATCGGTATCGCTCTTCCACTAGTTCATCTCCAGATTCCCCAAGCGTATCAGCGTCCCCGGCTACCATGGGCTCGGATGCTTAGATTGGCCAATCGAATCCCCAACTTTTCCACTGGGACACGAAAGCACACATTTTTTCTCCCACCAACCTACCACAGCTCACGCCGCGCGTATCTTCAATAAT